ACTATTTTACACATTTATTTGTAGTGGGAGTATTTACAGATGATTTCATTTGTTATCTTGCCAGAAATCCCCATATGAATATTATAAACAGAAAAAAGTTATTTTAAAAATGCAGCCCCATGTGGGGCTCCACGTTAAGCATGGAGCCTGCTTGGGATTCTCTCTCTCTCTCCCTCTGTCCCTCCCCGGCTCGCACTTTCTCTCTCAAAATAAATACAAAAATTGCAAATGTGGGGTGCCTGGGTGGCTCAATCAGTCAAGTGTCCGACTCTTGACTTCAGCTCAGGTCATGATCCCCACATCAGGCTCTGTGCTAGGTGTGGAGGTTAAGAGTCTCTCTCCCTCTCTTAAAAAATTAAATAATTTAAAAAATGCAAAGGTGCATACTCATAATTTGTTTTCCAATAGTTAACGTTTGGGCCAAATAATTTCCTGAAGGCTTAATGAACACTCGTCCACCACTTTCTCAGAGAAAACTAGCGAGGGTATTAATGTCTTCAAATATGGGTTGGCTGAAGGACTGGGTCAGGACACTTTCCTTTTTTACTACATGTCAGGTCTTCCATCTTCATCTTGTGTCCAGGCTTCTAATTTTATCTAGAATCTGACCCTTACTTCTGAGCACAGCATCTACCTGCTAAACAGGCTCCCAAAGAACCTGTTTGGTCCTAGGTTATTCCTTCCTTCATTTGTTCATGTAATAATTTATCATTACAGGGGTGCCTGGATGGCTCAGTTGGTTAAGTGTCTGACTTCGGCTCAGGTCACTATCTCACAGTTCGTGAGTTCGAGCCTTGCATCGGGCTCCGTGCTGACAGCTCAGAGCCTGGAGCCTCCTTCAACTCTATGTCTCCCTCTTTCTCTGCCCCTCCCCTGCTCACTCTGTCTCTGTCTCTCAAAAATGAATAAACATTAAAAAAAATTTTTTTTAAAATAATTTATCACTACAGTGTTTCTGAACATTGTGATGATTCAGAATTCAGAGCAGATTATCTCCTTTACTGGGAGGAACAAGCCACAGCAAGACAACCACATTTGGTAAATAGCTTTGGCCTGAATTACTCATTCAGTATCTATTTGTTATCACCTACTATGTGCCAGGCCTTGGTCCACTGCTGAAGATAAAGTGTGGGTAAGACAGTCATTGTTCATTTCTCTATGGAAATTATCATGAAATCAATCAAAACAAATTCTTGAGCACCTAGTATATTCAGCTCCACTTTGAGGAAAATAAAATGAAGACAGGGTCCCTGTCTTCTGCAGGCAGTTACAACATAGTATCGAACAAAACTTAATAAAACACTAAAATATGTGGTTCAGGTACAAATACCTTAGTAGACAGGAGAGGTAGGAGCCTAAAGAGAGCTGGCTAGTTAGGCAGGATTTCTGAGGAGTTATATCTAAAGATGGGTAGGATGGGTAGGGCAACAGCCATAAGGAATGTGGACTTCAGCCTGAAAACAGACTGACAGACTTTCTGAAAATCTCCCACATAACATATCAGAAAAGCAGAGGGGTCCCTGCCTGCAATGTCAGGCCCTTCCAGACCCTGTGGTTTGCTCTCCTCAGACAAGCTATCCCGCTCAGTTGCTGCCCCAGTTCCAGGCTTACGTTAGAATGTTCTAGAATTACACTTCTACGTTTGTGCACACCAGATCAGCCTTCAGCTGCTATGATCAACCTCATTCACTTATATTCGCCTGTTCTTTTGCTTTCCTTAGTCCTTGAATTAATTCTCGAATAGAATCCAATTAGAAGTGGCCCCTCTTGGGGCGCCTGGGTGGCTAAGCAGGTTGAGCACCCGACTATTGATTTCAGCGCAGGTCATGATCCCAGGGTCACAGGCTCAAGTCCTGCCTCGGGCTCTGAGCCGAGCCCAAGATTCTCTCTTCCCTTCCCTTGCTCTCTCTCGCTCTAAGATTAAAAAAAAAAAAAAGTAACCTTCTTCAACATTTTAGCGCTAATTCTAATTTCTGTGCAAACGCAAACCAATTCTAACCATGCATTTAAAATATGCAGTTTCTCTATTACAGTTCAGTGGAAATTCCCCTCTCCAAATTGATTCTATGAATGACTGTTATATAAACCTCACCACTGCATGGTGAAGCAAGGATTCCGACTTAACAGCGGACCCACGTTTAGAGGGAGTCGTCCTTCCGTTCCTGCTTTTGCCTCATTGGTAGACTGGCTGCGAGAAGCGCAAAAGAGGATGCCTTCATCCGAGAGCCCTCGGTTTTCCAGGGGAGGGCCGCAAGGTACCACTGGGTGTGTCTGAAGAGGCCGCTAGGGAAGGCGGGTGACGAGCGTCGGAGCAGGAGGGGATCCGGGAGGGGCCTTCCCTCTGGCGGCGCAGTAACAACCCAGCACCGCCGGAGGACTCTGCATGCTTCTGGGGACGGCGCCAGGCCCACCTCCCGCAACTCGCGCCCTGGAACGCACACAGGAACCAGGTCTTTCACCCGCGAAAGCCGCTGTGGTGCCCCGCGCGGGAAATTTCAAGGGGCTCGGAAGCCACGCCCACCCCAGAACCGGAA